CACAGCCCACTAAATCGCTGAGGGTGTGCAGCGAACTTGGAGAGCTCCAAGAAACCTGCCTCGTGGACAAGCCTTACATTTTTAATAAAAATATTACTTTATTGTAAGCTACAGTTGTTTATTTTTTAAAAATTAGTGATTTCTAGAGGTTTCCACATCTAAATGTGTTGTACTTATCTTTCTTTACTTTAGGATGCTAGGAAAGCATGTAATGATGCAACCCTTGTGCAGGTAAACTTTTTTTTTATTTCCTTATTTCATTTTAGTGACTTAAACAAAATAACACTGATGCAAATAACATTCAGATTCCTTTTATTAGTACTTAATTGAAAAAAATCAAATGAAATCTCTATGTAAAATCACTTTGTAATATGCCAAATGGTGTACGGTACAAGTGCTTTTTAAAACAGTGTTAAGTCTTTGGAAAAATAAATGGTATATTATAGATTTTTTTAAGTAGTTTCTGATTCTTTTTGGTATACCCTGATTAAGTTTTTTTTCTTATACAAACTCTTAGGAAGGTTTCATGTTTAATTAATAATGATCATTTTTATTAAGGAAATATTTTATGTGTACTATAAATATAAAACTGACTTTCTTATGGACAATTAAAATTATAAATGTTTTACTGTTTGATCATGTGCTACTAGATTTTTATTTGTGGCTGTGTTGTTATTAAAGTTTAAAGGTTATGTCTATTGTTTTTAGTTAATAGTCTGCAGAAGATATTCTTACCTATAATAGTACACAGGATTATTTTAAATCAATCATAATTTTTTATGAACATATTGATCCCATAACGACTCTGTGGAATTACATATTAAATTATCTTCAATTACTATAAATTTACTTATGTTTGCTTTTTTGCCTACTAATTAAGTATTTCTAGTTTAAGTTAACTCCTGAACTATGTCTAAGGTAAAGAATAACATTTTTGTCACTTTTTAAAGATCACGTCAAATATGGACTCTGTGGGTCGAATACAAATGCGGACAAGACGTACACTGAGGGGCCACCTAGCTAAGATCTATGCTATGCATTGGGGATATGATTCAAGGTTTGTACTTGTGGTTTTCAAATTGTCAGCAGAACTATTTTTATTAGGAATCATGATTTGCATTTTTTATTTACGATCTCTACAAAAACAAACTATATTTAAGTGAAGTGTTTGCAGAGAGTGCATCTAATATGAACACTTTGCTTTCACTAAGAATATTCATTGACACTTTAAAGGTTTAAAAGCCTTTAATATGGAAAATAAATTTACCTCTCAAAAATATCCTTTATCAAATAATCCTGGACAGCTGTTTAGAAGAGGATTTCTTTTCTTTGCATTAGGATATTATACTTTGTTTTTTAATACACCAAAAGCAGTTTTACTGTATATTAACCTTGAAATCTTAATAAGCAAATATTTATTGAACACCTGTATACAAGTTACTGAATAATGCTATAATTACTTATTACATAAATTCACAAATGATGGAATTACATGAAATGAGGATATTTCCATTGATACATCTTTTATTCTCCCAACCCCAACACAGAAATGCATGTGCTTGAATGTGCAACTTGAACGCGCGCGCACACACACAGACACACACGCGCGCGTGCACACGGCTACCCCCTGGCCTGCAGTTAGATGGTTTGGTCATCAAGATTCACTGTGTTTGTAGGGCTATAGTGTAGCCTGTGCTTTTTCTAGAGTGTCTGGCAATAGCAGGTCTGCCTGCTGCCTCAGTGATTGACTTGTTTGTTTGATTTGGTTAATCTTATTGGGAAGTGTCCAAACCAAGAAATTACTTTTTAATAGAAGTTGCACATTTATTCTCTTCTTCCAGGAGACACTAAAATTGTAAAGTAGAGGAAGCCTCATTGGTTGCTCTCAGATGTCAGTGGAATACTTGAGTACAGTGTATAGAACTTGTGCCTCTCAGAAGGGGATATGTAAATTCTGTAATTGACAACTGACATAAGGCTAGGGCAAATGTTTTATTCTTAAAGTTTAAGATAAACATAATTTACCTATTGATAAAGCAAACTTTTAACTCAAAATACAGTAACTGGAAACAATGTTAGTAGTTCTTACTTTCCTTAAAAATTTTCTCAAGACTATTAATCTTGAGAAAAAAAACAAAAATATCATGCAGGAACCTATGTCACATTGTCTTCCTACTCATTCTGATTATCAGCTCATTACTTAATGCTATTCTCAGCTCATATGCTGATGATTCCAATTGATTTTTTTTTTTTTT